ACAAAATCTTAGAACTTTTTATCTCACTTATCACCCTATTATTGTTTCAATCTGGTATAAAGTAACACAAATTTAGACAAAGTTATCTACATAGAATATGCTACAGTTTTAAATACTAGAATTGGCTTATTTCAATTATCTTTTTGACTTTGGAAGCAAATAAAAAGTACTTTGATCAACTGGTAGAAGATAGAGGACATATTAATGTACGTTCAGTAATTATAGCAAATGTCCCACTCTGATGGGACAAATATCCCCTCTTGATAGAGGAGGGGTTGTGCATGTGTAAGGGTAGGGGAAGTATCGGGAATGTCTGTAACTTCCTCTCAATTTTGATATGATCCTAAAACAGTTCTAAAAAATAAAGTCTTTTTTTAATTTTTTTTATTTTTTTATTTTTTTATTTTTTTAAGTCTTTTTTTTAAACAAAAGAAAATACAGGGCATTTGAATAGTTCTAGTTTAGTATCTTCTAGTAGTGATTTAAAGCTTTCATGTATTTAGAACTTTCTCTAAAGAAGAGTATAAATGAATAATCTGAAAATTCCTTGATTTTGTCCTTTCAATGAAATTACCACGTTTGGTAATATGTGAGAGATAATAACAGTGTGAATTAAATTTTAATAAAGGAACACACTATTGTTAAAAGCACCCAAAACGAATCCACCAAAACTGAAATGAATCACTGTAAAATACACGTTGATATGCCACTTTACTATCCATACAATTTCGCTGTTCCCCCATTGCCTTGAGGATAAATGGCAAACTCCTTATCCTGGAAAATGTATCTTTCCTCACTCTGATCCCGACCAATCTTCCAAGCCTTATTTCCTTCTCTTATTTACAGACCCCATGTGACAGCAGAGTGATTAACAGTGTGGCCTCAGAAGTCAGGCAGAGATTCAGAAGGCTGGATGAAACTTCTCCAAGTCTCGTCAACTGTGGAGCATTGCCACTGGCACTTGGAACATGAGCGGCAATGAGAGCACAATTAACTTTCTAGCACTTTCTGAAATCTGGGAACTGAAATGGCCAGAGTTAAGGAACCTTATGAAATAGCAAAAACTAAATAGTCAATGTAGAATTACACAATTACATATGTAGGTAGAAAATTCTTTCTTTCTGGTGTCTTACCTCTGCTACAGGAACCGATCAGTCCACCATGGATGGTATTGACCAGCATGAGCCAAGGTCTGTTTCATTTGAGACCCATCTGTCATTAGGTATACCCTGAATGTCCATTCAGGTCAGTCAGAGAACCTTGTTAAATATGATACCAGATTTCTGCCCACTGTCTGCAGAATTCCTCAAACCTTCACTTCTAGATATTATTGGGTCCTCCGGTTTCTTCTATTTTGGCTTTAAATCTTAGCTCTCATTTTTTAATCGAGTCTCTGGAATTTGAATTCCATTGTGAACTATTTCCATTATTTTTCACTTTTGTACTCCAAGACACTAGATTTATTATTTTCTTCCAACTCTAAACACCATAGATGTTGGCAAGGGAAATCTGATTCCTGTATCTTGCCCGCACATAGGAAAGCTATGGCTGTGTCCGCTCTCTCTCAGGTAGGCCCTGTTCTCAATCAGTCTGAGGCTATGGACTAGAATGTGTTTTGGAAACAGAGCAGCTGGTATCAGAGAGTCTAGACCAGCTGCCAGGAAGTTGAGCTTAAATTAAAAGGAGGACCAAAAGCAGTATGGTATGGGAAAACAAATCAGACTTAAGTTCTGTCTTGGCTTTGTTACTGACCAGCTACCCCTAAGATACTAAACAAATCCTTTAACCATTCTGGGACTATCTCACCTGTAAGAGTTGGTCTGAGGAATAAATGAAATGATCTGGGGAAATGCCTGGAATGTCTGGAATGCCTAGATGCCGGGTTGGACTCTGAGTGTCTATCCACTCTTGTCCATCCTAAATGCCTGTGAGGAGTAGGTTGCAGAGAATATCGGCCAACCATACCACTCTGACTAGCCTCTGTGCTGTTTGTAGTTGTTCTGAGTGTGTTTAACAAATTGCGTGTTTTGGTTCTTATAGAATATTCAGTTGTTCTAAACACATCTCACACATATCTAAGTTAAAAGATCACCTCAGCAGAATAGGAAAGAGAGATGCTTAAACAGGGTTGACACAAAACATGGATTAAATGTGAGGTAGACCTGGTTTCACCAATTACTACTTGTATGGCCTAGGGCAGGCTTCATAACCTCTGAGTTTTCTCATCTATAAAGTGAAGAGTGGCAATGGCCAAGCCACTGGGTTGTAGAATGATTTTAACAAGAACATGAATTCTTTCAAATAGAAAAAAATGGGGCACTATATTTCACAGATTTTCCATGTCAATGAGAATTAGGACACATGCTACATATGTGAACTACATGTGTAATTTTAACTTTTCTAGTAGCCACATTAAAAATATGTTAAAAAGTAACAAGTAAAGTTAATTTTAATAAAATAGTTCACTTAACCCAGTATATCCAAAATGTCATCATTTTGACATGTAAACAACATAAATATTATCGAGATATTATAAATTCCTTTTTTATGCTGAATCTTTAAAATCGATGTATATTTTATTTCAAGTGTTCAGTGCCACATGTGGTTAGTGGCTATCACATTGGACTCAAAGATCTTGGAGACACCTGGGTTTATAGTGCCTATCTTCTAATTAACCCACTTAGAGCTTTTCTGTTGCTTTATTTCTGAGCTAGAATAATGATTAAAGTATATGCGTATGTTGCATATAACATTATGTATGTGAACCAGCATTGGCAATTTTAGTAGTGGTTCTCTTAGGGGGCTCTATGATTCCCTCAGAGTAGTTCATCTGCCAAAACCACTGTTCAGGTGTCTGTCCAAGGGCTGGATTTTGGATAAGACTCTTCTTTTTTTTTAAGATTTTATTTTTTTATTCATAAGAGACACACACACACACACACACACACACACAGAGAGAGAGAGAGAGAGAGAGAGAGAGAGAGAGAGAGGCAGAGACACAGGCAGAGGGAGAAGCAGGCTCCATTCAGGGAACCTGACCCCTGGCCGAAGGCGGTGCTAAACCGCTGAGCCCCCAGGGATGCCCGGATAAGACTCTTCTATCATCAGCAGACCACATTGAGTCTTTGTAGAGGAAGTGAGAATAATCAATTTCATAGCATGGAATTTCTTTCTGAAGCACAGAACTCTTTTTCACAAATGTGTTCCTAATTCCTGTGAATAAACTATTTTCCAATGGCTATGATCAGTAACTAGTCAGGTCCAAAAAAGAAAGAAAATGTTTTATAGCTTCATCAAGTTCTTTACTGAGTCACCATCTTGTCAACTGCCCACATAAGAGAGGACTTTCCCCCAGAAAGTGAGTTAGTCCCATGAAAACTGCTAACCATATGAGGTGACCTCAAACAGAGACCTGAACACATACTAGGCAGTAGCTTACAAATGGATGAATAAATGGAGCTAGATACATTATCTGGGAGTTTGGACCACCAGTTAAAATAATATGTAAAGACTTCATTACTTCAATGTTGGTTTATTTAAAACAAAATGTAATTCAAGGCTATTTCTATGCTGTTCTTTAAAGAGAAGGTAAACAAACTTAGGTAATTCAAAATGTATTGTTTTGGTTTCTTGAGTTTCAAATTAGGGAAATTTTAGTGCAAACAGCATACATTGCTCTTAGTCTCTGGCTTTCATAGTTCTAGGAAAGCTTATTCTCTGATTCCGATTTTCATTTGATCCACTGATCCTATCTGTACCATCCTCAGACAACTTGCACACTCCCTAGCCTTTCTTCATTTTGTGAAAATTTAATATTTATAGACTGTAATTTTAGCCTCCATTATTTTCTTAACAGCCAGAAATGGCATTTAGCTCAATCATCCTTTGCTCAGAAGGAGGCTTAATGTAAATTCCTTATTTTTTCAGATACTTAGGCAATTCTTATATCGCATGCCTGTCCTTGATTCAGAAGTCTGTGTTCATTCCCTGGGGCTACAAACATTTTAAATTTGTGTAGAAATTTGACTTTACTCTGGATGGCCCTATAGATAAAGAAGGCTAGATTTTCACTCTTTCAAAGACATGACTTCCTTTACCTGGGCTCAGGTGGAGACCCCTAAATTATTGCAAACATAATTTTTCTTCTTCCTCCTGACCTCACGTGGCTGACTTGGCCCTCATTGTTTCTATTAATAAAGCTATCTCTCGTCACTCACTTACATGCACACTGTCATAGCAACCCTGGTGTTAGTCCTATTAACCTACCACCCAAGGCAACTCCTCTTGCAGAAAAGATCTACAATGCCTGAGGGAAAGCATCTTGTGGCAAAAGCAGCTGCAGTCCCAGCCCTCCAGTCATGGTGCTCCAAGCTGCTGCCTCCTTACCCTCAGCAATGGATCCATCCATCATTCCAAAGCACCTGATTGTAAATGTGAGCCCAACTAAAGGAGTAACAGTTTTGCCTATAAGTTTTTTCAACATGTGTGATGTGAAGGAGCATTAGTTTAGCAGTGACTCCTTGTGACAAAGTGTTTGTGTGTGTGTGTGGGGGGGGGGGGGCTCTCCAATTGCCAATTTTGCTAGTATCATTCCCAGCCTATACCGATGTTATAAGACTTTGTAGGCTTTTTATCTTTTTGTGATATCAGTGAAATAATGGCAATGTATTAAGACTTGGAGTTACTTCCTAGGAATCTTGTTGAAATTAGTATTGCATTATAATTTGTGGCTAGGGACGCCTGGGTGGCTCAGTGGTTGAGCCTCTGCCTTTGGCTCAAGGCATGATCCTGGGATCCTGGATCGAGTCCCACATCAGGCTCCTTGCATAGAGCCTGCTTCTCCCTCTGCGTAGGTCTCTGTCTCTGCCTCTCTCTCTCTCTTTCTGGATCTATCTTTACATGGTATATGTAAAGAGTTTATAGCCTCACTTGGCACATTGTAAAATCTCATTTTAAAAACTCAATGAATGTTAGTTTCTTTAGCTGTTATTAAGGCATTTAAAAATATGGAATGCTTCACAAATACACATATCATCCTTGTTCAGGGGCCATGCTTATCTCTTCTGTATCGTTCCAATTTTAGCACATGTGCTGCTAAAGCAAGCATTCTTTGAACCAGCCAACAGCTGACTTGGAGATCTTGAAGAATTGTTTGAGTGGCCCATAAGAAAAAAAATTAAACCAGTGATAACAACATCATATTCAATAGCAATAAATAATTGCACTGATAATCAAACTACACTTTTGGTGGTGGTGACAAGAACCAAGTCACCATGGTTGCTTTTCAGGTTTATTTTAGATGTAAATACAAGTACTAGGGATTCCTTGTTAAAGCCACGTGGTTTTGCTGAAAGAAAAAAAAGATAGGTATCTTGATGGTCTAGTGTTGGCTATATGTTTTCTTAATATGAAATGAATGTTTGAGCTTCTTATACTAATATGAGTCTGCCATGTTCTAAATTCATTATTCCAAATCAGTGGTGTTCGTGTCATTACTAGTGTGCTTGCTACTCAACACTGAAATGTGTTCATTAGCTGCAAATGACAGAATTGCAGTATACTACAGTTTAATTTTTAAAGTCTTAAAAATTTTTTGTCAGCCTGCCTGTTCTTCCTTTGGAACAGGATAATGAGATAATAGTTATGTGAGGAGTGGATGAAGATTTCACAGCACTGAGGTAATCGTCCTATAACCATGCCATGGTTTTTGCTCATTTTCAATTTGGTTATATTCACAATGTTGTGAAGACATCATATGTTTTCCTAGTGTAATAAGGATATGTTTAGACAGCTTCTATCAATAAGGTGACCTAATTGTAATGTTAGAATTTATCAGATTTATTCCAAACCTATCATCACAATGAAATGTCTGCTCTTTTAGCCATCACACTTTTTGATTATATTCTTTCTACTTTTTTTTTTAATCCAAAAAGCTAAGCTTCAGCTATAGAACTGCTTTGTTATAAAAATGGCGAGAGGCTGTGGTCATAACTAGTCATTGCTATTTGCATATTATTCAGTCTTTTCTTTATCTACTGGACAAATATGTCTCATTAACATGCATTAATGCCTGATTTCTCTTCTGCTAAAGAAATGATACAAATCTGTAGCATTCCTCACCCTCCATAAGAAAAATAAGCTTATCTGTAGGAGGAAGTAAAAGCAATTAATTGGATAATGTAAGCCCATCCTTCTCAAATTTTCTTGTCTAAAATAGTAGTTCTCAGTTGGGGATGGTTTTGTTTCCATAGATCATTTGGCAATGTCTGGAGATGTCAGTGACTGTTGAGACTGAGGTTGGGGGTGGGGTGTTACTGGCATCTAGTGGGTGGACACCAGGAAAATGGCCAAGCATCCCACAAGGCACAGGACAGCCTGCACAACAAAGAATTACCATGATCTAGTCCAAAATGTTAACAGTGCTGAGTTTGAGAAACCCTGGTCTAAAATATCCCAGTGTCTCAGTTATTGCATCAAAGCCAGGGCTTAGATTTTGAAATATTCAATCACGCTTAGTAACTCTCCACCTTCTTTTACCCACAAAGAGCTGGACATACTTTTTAAGGCATCTTGCTCAAATATATTGATGTGTTGAGGGTTTTTTTTAAAAGAGGATGATCCAAATGAAAGAGAAATGTCTGTATGCTCTTCCTTTAAAGTGAGTTTTTAATTATGAGAATGCAGCTGAAGACTTGAAACCTTATTTTTATAAAGCTTCTTTTCATTAAAAAATAATCTACAGAATTCTTTATTTTAGGGCTTTTCTTAAAGTCAGCGAGGCCAGGCAAATACAGAAAATAAAATCTATTTCCTTTTTCTTTCAAAGTGCAATGCTTCTACCTCTTTAAACAAATGCATGCTCTGTAAAGACTGACAATTGAATCCTTTTATCTGATCTCTGAGTATTAGATCACTCGAAATTTAAGAAAATGCAAGTAACACTGACTCTTAGAAAAAACAGCCTATATCATAGAAAAACGCACACACAGAGATACAAATCAACAAAGAAACAAAACACCCTCAACCCAGGCCTTTTAGGAAAAGTAGCCATATATTTATGGGAGGGGTGTGTAAAAGCACTTTAGTGAAGAGAACCAGTGATCGCAATGCATCAAAGTTAAGCGGTAGCGAGGTTATCACTCCGTGAAAAATCACATAAACATTTCACATATAAAATATTATTCATCAGGGCAAAACCCTCTAAGGGGTTGAGAGATAGCAAAGGTGTCATGAAATCTTTTTTTTTTTTTTAGAGAAAAGATATATTTCACAACTGAGATGGAATCTGTGGTCATGTAGTAGGTAAGAGAGGAGTATAATTGAGAAGAAAATTAGCAAACCTTAAATATCTGCCTCTGCAATATCATTACCCATAAACTTGCCCTTTTTCCACCCTCTTTTCCCCAAAGACTGATGTCCCATATCTGAACTGAGGGAGATGTGTGCTTTCTAACAGCTAAATCAACAAGGTTTCACATGAGTAGTGCTGTGCGGTGTGGTTGACTGATTTCATGAAAAACTAATCATGTATTCATCATTGAGATCAAACACTTCCCAAGTAATTATCATCCAAGCCCAATCTGATAGGACCTGAAAAAGTGGCACTGCTGATATAATCAGAGGCTGAGCAGAAGAGTTCTCTCAGCTTTTGTAAACCTTGGGTTGGAAAGTGCAAAACGGAAATTGTATTTTATAATTAAGAAAGGGAAAGTTGGCAGGCTGCAATCAATTATTTCAATCAATCATAACAATTTTAGTTTGCCTAGATATTTACTAGAGCACATATTTAAAAATTGACTTTTCATATGTGGTCTTTGACACATTTTCTTTAAATGTGAAAAAAAATGTGAAGATATTTTTTAATTCAAATACAAGCCCTTTGTGTACCCACTACAAAATAGCGTCCTATCACATCTCTGGTTTCCTTAGTTTGAGCTGTGGTATTATTCTTTTTGAAAAAGAGCTATTATTATATTGAATTGTGTGTCATTACAAAATGATTCCTTCCAGAAAATCTTATTTTGGCTTCATGTCTGTGATTATAAATTTAGATGAAGACAAACAATGTAGAACATTTAAATGCTTTACAAAGTACTTCCACACATATCACCATGGATGCTTCTTATGTGTCTGGTAATACGTTAAGTGCTTTCCATGTGTTATTTCATTTAATCTTCAGACAGCCTAATGAAAGAGATCAAGTTATAACCCCCACTTACCAGTGAGGAAACCAAGTCATGGAGAGGCCGTATCTTGCTCAAGGTCACAAATAACAAGTGACAAAGCTGGAACATGACTCTAGCCCAGTGATTTTCAGACTAGAGCAGGCCCCCTTGATCATAATTCAGACTAGAGCAGGCCTCCCTCATAGTATTTGATTGTGGGGTGACAGTATTTTAAAAAGAACTTTCTATATGCCAGAGGTTGATCTATGCACTTTATATATGGCTATGGGACCTCTCTGAAGCTCAGGTTTTTAATTTGTGAAATGGTGATAATAATCTCTATTTTCAGAGTTATGAAAATGGAGCTAATGTAGGTCAAGTCTCTACCACTGTACCCACAGAGTGGGGAACTTTGTTAATTGACTTGTCGTGCATCCAACAGCCAGCAAACAAAGGGTCTGATTTACAAGTGGGCTGGATGCCAGATACAAGCCTGAGAGGTTGGCAGAAGTGCTGCCATAATTATTGCCACAATTACAAACCTCAGGTAATACGCTCTTTCTAATAGATCATGCCAGCTTCTGGAAATATATGCATAACTCAAAGTTTAACAAATTAAATCACATGCTTTGTTTCATAATACAACTAAATGATTTTGCATGTCTAAATAGTCACATTCTGCAATTTCTTAAATGTGTAACTGCTGCACATATTTATCCATATTTTACAAGTTTCTATTCATTGTTCAAGATGAAATGAATTTCCTTAACATAGAGAGCTTGCTTTATTATCCGCTTTTTTCATTTATCATTACAGAACATGAACCAAACTCTACTTCATATAACCAAGTTGATTATGCAATTCCTTTATCAAATTTAGCAGCATGAATTAAACATCTACTATGTACCAGACACATAGAAGGTATCTCATATATTTCTTACAAAATTGGGTCGTGTAGAATTGAGAGTTCTTTCTGATAACCAAACCCATAGGAGCAGAGAGTAGAATGGTAATTACCAGGGGTTGGGGGAGAGGGAAATGGGAGAGATGTTGCTCCGAGAGTACAAAGTTTCAGTTATACAAGATGAGTAAGTTCGGGGGATTGAATATACAGTATGGTGACTGTAGTTAACAGTACTGGATTGTATACTTGAAATTTGCTAGAGTGTGCTCACTACACACACACACACACACACATACACACACACACACAAGATAACTGTGAAGTGATGGATGTATTGATTAACTTGTTTGTGACAATTATCTCATGATGTCTATACACATCAAAACATCAAGTTATATACCTTAAGTATATACAACTTTGTCAATAATATCTCAATAAAGGAGGGGAGATTAATTCTCTTCATCAAAGTGAAGTTCTATTCATTTAGATGAGATAAAAAATAAGCCTAGTGAGAAGGCTGTTTTTCCAGTGGAGACAGATATTTCCTTCATGCTTCACTTGTTCCTAATCTGTTAGTGAGAGAAAATCACTTATTCATAAATCTTTGAAGAATCACCATTGGCAAATGGAAATGTGGATTTACTCATACAGTTCCTTAAACTTTAAACTGGGCTTCTGGAGAATGACGTCAGTTCCACACGTTTCACTGAGGTATCCTTTTAACCAATGGTTATTTTTGTCTCTTTACAAAACAAACCACTGATAATGGAGAAACTCATTCATTCATTGCATCATCGTCAATGGCTCACATCCACGCAGCTCAAAAAGGAAACTGATATCTTTGTTTGGCAAATATTCTTCCTTTTGCAGGTAGGATTTATACACCTGCTTCATGGGTTAGGGCCTTAGCTAATTTTTAGTTAATTAGGAAAGTTTTTCCTTAGGCTGTATTATATAAGTATGCCTAGAAGTGTATTCATAAGGCTCAAGGCAACAATGGTGTTGATGAATTTGATTTTGATACACATATTTAA